TCAACTTGAAGTTGGGTGTGGACCAAATTTTAAGGAGTTGCTGATTATATGCAGTTCAGTGCTCTAACTTAAGCTCTTGGCAGCAAAGAGATTTGTTTCATTTGGTCCTATTTAAGTCTGCATTATAGCTTGTATATTTATAAATGTGTTTCCTTCTGTCTTTCTGATCTTTCCTTTATATTTTCAGTATACTGAGTATTTGATTATTGTCCTGTTTTTCAGCTGGATGCTTCAGCATGTAGCATTTCTCTTCACTGTTTTAAATAACAAATATCTGATTGGTATTTAAGTAATGGTATTAGTAAAGGAACAATAAATGCTTTGTGGGTAGGGAATGGATTTTCTTTTCTACTATTGCTGTATATTGGCCTTTTTACATCTTGTATCTTTCAGATGTATTAGGTCTATCACTCCTACAATTCCCATTGACAGTTCCCAAAGGCTATGCTTTCTGGGAATTCTTGGGATTGATCCCAAAATATCTGTAGAACATCAGATTGGGAGGTTGCTGTAAATATTAAAAGCACTGATGCATTTTGAAATAATGCTGAGCGAGGGGAAGATACTCTATTGTTTGGGTTAGGGATTTTTCTTCCCGTAAATTCCTCTTTTCAGCTGTCATTTTAATTCTGCATATTGGGTATTAAGAGGATCAAGGTTCTCCTAATTCTTATGTATATTTAAAGCATAACAATACATTTGCAACTTAAAACTATCTAGCCATTGCAACCTTTACATTTATTAAAAAAAAGAAACAAAAATGGTCTTTGTGATATCTGTATGTAGATGATGCAGAAAACTATTTAATTTTTAGTCTTTACAAAATTTCTAGTTAGTTTTTTTTTGTAATTGTGCAAATTACCTGATAGAATCTATTATTCCAATGGCTTAGATTTCATGTGTGTAAATTTATTTCAAACTATTTTTTAATCTTGGGAATCTCAAACTACAAGATGATGCAAAATGTTTTGTTTTCAAGCAAAAAGTAATATACCAAATGCAAACTCTTAATTAGAAGTGAAAAGACAGACCATGAAATGCTTAATTGGAAGTAGACTTAAGGATAAAGATGTAGTGGGTTTAAGGAAAGTGTGAATTCTTATTTTGAATTAGAAAGCACTGGAATGTTGAGCCTATATAAAGTGGCTTGAAGTGTAGGGAGGGAATAGGTAACCCCCAAGTGATGCTTTTTCCAAATTTTTGCATGTAAAAAAACTTTTTTTTTCTTTTTTGGGGGGGTTGTGAATGGAGCTGGGCATTGATATTTGTGAAATTGTAATGCAAAGTTTGTATATAGTTCAAAAGTTTATAATTTTTTATTCTGCATTTTGAAGTGTATTTTGTCTTTAATAGATACAACTGTAAGTACTGTGTACACTATTAAACCAATAAAATGTTTATAAAATATGTTGATTACTTTCATTGCACTCAAACCTTATCTGGAATGACAGAGATATTCAGCAGTTCTGAACAGCTAGAAGTATCCTTTAAAAGTTTGAAGTTGGTGAAACATTTTTTCAGCAGCAGGTTATAAAAGCTATGCATTTTCACTACATTTAAGTTTGATGCAAATTGATGTGTCCAGTAGTTACTTTCTTACCTGATTAAAGAACTGTCTTGCATTTTACTAGAACTCTGCTGATTCAGTCCTTTGTTCCGTAAACTTTCTATACTGAAATTTAAACTACAATTTGCTTTGGCTTTAAAGATAGCTTATAATTCCCCCCCCCCCATTTTGAATTGAATTCATGGACATTTGCATACATTAATCTGTAATCATCATTCTTGGGACATTTCTTAATCTTAATCACAGTTACAATTAAGATGATGACATCTGAGTGCTTAATAGTTTATGGAACACTTTTACATAGAAAAATGGCAAATTAGGACATTTTATACTGTACAGTATTCCAGAAATGTATTACATAGTTATTAGATAATTAAGTAGATATTAAGTAACAAAATGGCCAGGTTGGGCCTCTGCCACTTCTGTTGATCTGCAATATCTACTCAGAACAAAAGCTTCTTTTTAAAGCACAAGTACGGTATATCAAAACTTATATTTTTGAGGAGTTGTTAATACTGTAGTTCATCTATTAATATAGTTTCTGCTACTTTCAGCAACCTATTATTATTACGGAACTTGTATTTACTTGCGTCTCTAACTGCTTGAAAAATGCTACAATTATGCGGGTATAAGGATTTTATAAACTTTTGCAACCTAGCCTAATGTATCTCAAAAACCAAGATAATGCTTTTTTTAAAAAAAAATGTAAAAGTTATTGTATTATTGGATTTCAGCATTTTAAAAGGTTTGGTTTAAAAGTGAAGGGTTTGCTCATGGTTCAGCTTGGCATTCAGTATCTAACAAGTCATAGCAATGTCATAATGATGCACATATGTTACGATTCAAATGGTGGTTATGATGTACATGTTATTTGCTCCCTGGCCTCCCCAAATGCTGATAATGCCACTCAAATCTAGCATTTTTTTCTGAAATAATGCCATTTAAAAATGTGGCTCGTCTCCAACTTTTACTAAGATTATGAACCAGCAGAAGATATGCCTCTCAATCACTATAAATAAAATTAATGCTAGTGACATCAGTTCAAATATAATGGAAGGCAATGTTCTTTTATCAATACTGAGATAAGATTCAACTGGCAGTTCGTGTCAACATCCAGCACCTGTTGTGCTTTGAGGCCATAAAGTGCCTCAAATAAAATGAAATAAACGTGCCTCAAATAAAATAAAATTTTATTTTCTCTCATGCTTTTGGTGGATAATCAGAATGTACTTTCACTTGCAATTGTGTATCAGAGATTTCAGCCCGTTCTAAGCCTAGTACCAAACAATTGTCTCTGTATATGAGCAGTATGATTCCACATCAAGGGAGATCTAAATTAAGTCTGCACAATGTATGGCTCATGGGCTGCAAATGTCCAGCAGCCCAGCTTTTTTTTTTTAAACTCTTAAATTTACCAGTTTATTCACCAGCTGCTGCCAGATGGGGGAGGAAGCAAGGGAGTGCGTGCAGAAATGCAGGTCAGAAATGTGGCCGTATGCAAGAGGTGTTGCTGTATGGGTTGGGAAGGATGTGTGGGTGTTTGCCAGAGATGTCATGCAGGTTGAAGAGAGCAGATAGGGGAGTAGCATAGGTTGGGAAGGGTGCTGGGGGAGGCATGAGAGGTCCTCTGCGTCATGTCAGCTACATGGAGTAAAAATATGTCAAGGTGGGTGCATGAAGGTAAGAGTGTGAGAGGGATACTGTGCCAGTTGGGGATGGCCTGTGGGAGAAGTGCTTGAGAAGCGTGCTTGGGAGTGAGCAAGAGATTATGTTGCATGGGGATAGCACAGGTGAAATACACGCAGGTACCCAAGAGGTGCCACATGGTCGGGAGTGAGTTGGGGTGGGTACATGGGGTGCTACGGGGTGAGGGAAGGCATGTGGAGGATAGTATGGATCAGGAAGGGTCATGGAGGTGCCCAAGAGGTGCTGCATGGGTCAGGGAAGGTGCAAGAGGGAGTGGGTTGGGGTGGGTGTGTAGGGGTATGTAAAAGGTGCTGCAGAGTGAGGGAAGACATTTGGGGGACAGCATGGATTGAGAAGGCACACGGAGTCATGGAAGATGTATGGGGTGTGCAACGGGTGCTGCATGGGTTAGGGAAGGCAAGTGGAGAGGGGCACAGGATTTCTTCCTTCCCCCTTCTCTTCCCAGAGGCAGGTAAGTGGCTGCTGGTGGGGAAGGGAGTGAGGGATTGCAAGACTGGCTGGGAAATTGTCAAGGAATGATGACTGCGGCAACAACCCAGCAGCATAGCATATAAATAAAAATATTTTATTGCAGATTCCATTTATCTCTAATAAAACAAAGTAGAAACTACATAGTGCAAGATAAAAACTATTAAATATAATTAATTACTTTGATTTTTATCTATAAAAGCACTCAGCAATTCAGTGAGATTATAAAACAGCCTACATTATCTGTAAGAAAACTGGGCAAACTTTTACCTGTGGAAAACAGTACCAAATGATAACTTGTTATAAGCGATGAATTCATTTACCTTGTTTCAGTGACCTTGAGAGGACTGCCTGAGAAATGAGATGCTAACACTTTCCAAATCAAGTTTACTCCTTTACAATATGAGGTGCTAGTACCACTTTATACTGTAAGACCATACTAGGAATAGTTGCATCTAGTTTTGGTCACCACTGTGCAAAAAAGATGCCAGACTCTAGAGTGCAAAGAGCAACAAAAATAATTAGGGGACTGAAGGTTAAAAACAAGATGAATGGTTGCGAGAATTTGGAATCTAATCTAATGAAGAGTAGGATTAGGACATGATAGCAGTCTTCCAATATTCGAGGAGCTGTCACAGAAGAGGGGGTCAACCTATTCTGCAAAGCACCTGAATGCAAGACAAGAAGTAACAGATAAAGGTTTAACAAAGAGCGATCCAATCTAGCATTAAGGAGAATTTCCCTGTCAGTGAGAACAATAAATCACTGGAACAGCTTGCTCCAGAAATTGTGGGTGCTCCATGAGTGGAGGTTTTTAAGAAAAGAGTAGACAGCCATTTGTCCAGAATGGTATAGCTCTCCTGCTTGAGCAGGCGGTTGGAGTAGAAGACCCGCAAGGTCCCTTCCAACTCTGTTACTCTGAAAGTATTCTGTAACAACAATCATTGGAAATATATGAGACTTTTTGTTTTTCCCAGATGAAAAACTGCTTAATTTCCCATGAAATATTTTCATAGGGGTGGGAGGGTATCTTTGAGAATAGCTAAGAAATTCTACAGCAACATGACTGACAAGAGGAACTAGAACTGATTTGCAGATTCCATTTTTAAACTTTTTGTTTTGTACAAATGCTTCTATGATGTTTGACAGCAGAAGTCCAATGGATTACTTCTTTGCAATTTCATTTACAGGATGCACAATTCCCCAAGCCCCTTTTTGTTTTCTGTCTTCATAGAGACGGCAAATATTTTCCTACTGATTAATACAAGCTCTTGATGCCACTATGACATGGCAAATGTCTACAGTGAGATTTCTGGTAAAAATTTTTGAGTCCTCTTCTTTCTGCTCTTCATTGTTCAGCTACTCCAATTTACTGGCTGTGTACTGTTTTATTTCTCCAGGGACTTTTAGGAATCTGGAATTAAGCATATAAAAAAAATCAACTTTTTTCCCCCCAGGATGATCCAATACCCATTCTATCTCTCCCCACTCCTTTCAGCAATACACATAGAGATACACACAAAAGCAAATGATCCAGGGATGACAAGGAATCGATCTGTATCTTTTAAAATAGTTAATTCCTCAAGTCAAACAGTGTTGCACTGGATATGATAATATCCCTGCTTTGTTATATATGAAAAGATGCTTTAAAATGAAAAATGTGCTTCTAATCTTATTCATATAGAACTTCAAAACACATTAGTCAAGCATTAAAATGCAATTGTAATTCATTTTGTTGACAAGGGATTATGCTCCAGAATTTCCAAGATTCAAAGAATAAAGTTGTAATGAAGGAGGAAAAAACATCCCAAGGAGTACGTAAAAGTCATTGCATTTAAACCAATCAAGATTTAATTATGAAATTTATATAGCCACCCATCTCTCCTGGTGATCCTAGGCAGCTCATGGCAACCAGGAAAAATATCAACATAAAAACATATCACACCTTTCCTATCAAGATAACAGATATTGTTAATCCTCTGACTCAACCTCATGGGCAAAAATCAGCAAGGTCTGGAAAATACGAACTCTGAGCAACCAAGCAGGGGCAGGAATGTTCTCTCCACCAGAACAGCTTTAGAAATAAGATGGGGGAATTCCATTTTCTTCTTTGTTCTTTTGCTTTACAAAGAAGAGGCATCTCTTCAGACTGGCTGCTTATCGAGAAAGGAAAAGCACCTCAACCCAGGGAAGGATTGGAGAATCAAAAGAAAATAGCGATCTTTTAAAATGTGGAACTAGATACAGTTTAGAATCCTTTCTAACGTTTATTTTATGGGCTGTTGTGCTCTGTTTTGGATGTGTGGCTGTTCCTGAAAGATTCCTGTTGAGTTAAAGCATCCAGGAATGACCCTTTCTTTTTAACCCTTTTCCCACTGTTTTTAATTCTGAATAAGTTTCATAAGCTTAATCTATATAATAAAAGATTTGTATCATCTTCTTGTTTCTGGTTATCAGTAGGGTCATTCAAACAGGAAACTTAGCCTTTCACACATCTCAGCCATTTGATGGAACAAACAATTTGAGAGAAGAATTTTCACTCTGTTCCTCCTAAATAAAGTTGCAGAGAGCATCTCCTAAACAAGGATGGTGAGAGGGGAAATGTGCGGGGGAAGGCTCAGGGATGCATCTTGACCTCACCTGAATAACAATTTCTGTCCAGTTTCCTTTTTGATGATGTTGAGTTTATAATAATGCCTCAAAGCTCTTGACATCTTCTCATATGTCATATTCCTTCGGTTCTGAAAATTGTTTAAAAATTGTAATTGTACCATCAGTTTGCTTTCTCTTGCCTAACTACTAATTTGAAATAGAAAAGAGTTGTAAGAAACTGCATGCATGCATAGCCTCTTTCAGTGGAGGTAGGATGAGAATTATGTAACCAAACATAAATATCTTGTTTTACATACTATTAAAGTACTGGCTTTATGAATTTATTTGGAATTAAAAGAATTAAAAGGGAACCACTTCGGTACAATTATAAGATAGCAAACTAAGACCTAGGAAACCCAGATTTAAGTCCCCATTCACTCTCTAGCTCAGTGTTTCTCAACCTTGACAATTTTAAGGCATGTGGACTTCAACTCCCAGAATTCCACAGCCAGCAATGCTGGCTGTAGAATTCTGGGAGTTGAAGTCCACATGCCTTAAAATTGTCAAGGTTGAGAAACACTGCTCTAGCTGATTCAGTTGTAATATTTCAGCCCAACGTATCATGCCAAATTGTTCTGATTAGAGAAATGCCAGTGCATGCTACCTTGAATTTTTACAGGAAAGTCAAGGCAGACATATAATAAATACATGCAAATACTCCCTTTGTCCCAGACTGTATCAAATCATCTTGTGTGCTCTCCTTTAATCTGTCCTTCTAAATGTCTTAGAAGCTCAACATCTCAAAATGGAGATTATACTTTGTTACAGAGCCAGGCTGGGAAAGGCTGGACCGACTGCTGTTGGAGTATTCCAACTGGCCATAGTTCATTATGAAGTCAGATTCAGAATATTCCCAGTTCTACTTTTAGCAAGACTGACCAAGGTTATGGCAAATGAGGAGGCACATTTACCCACACTTTGAGAATATAACTTTGTTAAATTATCTCAAAAGAACATTGGGGGATTATAGGAGATGTACAAATTGGTGCCCTCCAGGTAGGCTGAGAGTGCTACTCCTAATAAGCACATCTGGACAGAAATGTATCTCTACTTATGGAGTTTAGAAGGATCGCCTTATTTAGTACCTTTTGATTACCCCAGAGTCCAGCAAGGCCATTGGGATCTACAACCCGAAAGATCTTGGTTTCTTTGTCTTCCCACTTGATAAATGATTCATACTGGCTGTCAGAGAGGAGCTGGTAGATGTAATCCAAAAGTAACCTACAGTCTAAGAATTAGTTACATTGAGAGAGATGTTGTTCAAGTCAGAATAACAGAATAACATGGATTAGCTCCTACACCACTGCATTACTGTTAAAGACAGCTGTAGGATGTATTTGCAAGTGACCATAGCTGAGCAATGAAAAAAGTTGGAGTCACATGCTTCCAATTCTGTGCTGTTAACCAGTGGGGGGGGGGAGTGGAGCAAATGCTCTTGATGTGCAAAAACAGGTAAGCATTCCTGACAACCACATAGCAAAAGAGTAACAGATCTTGATAACCTTACCCTTACCTGCTATTTTACCACTGACTGAAGCAGCAGATTTTACAGGGAAAGAGCAAATGTTTCCACCATGGCTGATCTCTGGGTTGCTATAAGCGAGAGGTGTCACCCCAGGAGTACAGAGTGTCTTGGTGGCAGACTGAGATGAGTCAAAATAGCCTGCATGACGAGTGAAGATCGTTGGATATTCTGAAGGCAATGCAGGGATCTTAGCTGGGAAATCATCTAAGTTGCACTTGATACCTGTGAGAAGAGACCAGATTCAAAACAGAGCTTTTGACATTTTCTAAGCCAGCCCTCTTCACTCTGGAGCTCACTAAGTATATTATAGCGATCTGAAAAATACCAGGTTGGGAAAGGCAGATCTACCTCTAATCAACTGGAAATTGATGTAACAGAAGGTACCGCAATTAGATACATTAGCTGTGGTTGTTTTGCTATGAACATAGTCAGCTTTGAAGTCTGTTTAGTTATATATATATATATATATATATTTCTTTTTACATAAAGAAAACTCTTACCAGATTTGTCTCAGGCTATGCATGCCTAGACCAATTCTTGGACATTTTATAAATGTTTATGATAGAGATCCATACAAATTCATTATTCATTTACCTAAATGAGTAGGTAGGCTGACAGGCAGCAGAGATGGACAGATTCAACTGACTGAGTCAGAATACTGGTTTGCTTAAGCCAATGCCATCTGAACTGATGTATCAGTAGAAAAGACTGTGGCTCTGCTATAAAGACCACTTAGTTTATTTTCATCTCAACTCTCCACCTGTTTTTGTTTTCCTTTTGAGTCATATCTTTAAATTAGAAAGTTGTGTGAAGGAATGTTTTGCCTACAGAACTATAGTTTCAATTGACCTCCCATAAACTGCTCTAGTGGTGTTGGAGAAAACTCCTGAGAATACCACAGATAAAGAATACAAACAAATGGCTCAACAAATAAAGCAATCCAGAGTTCCCACCTGAGGCACAACCAGGCTCAGATAATCATATTTTGAATACATTATGCAAAGTATCAGTTCCCTTATGAAATTTCTAATGTTGGAAAGGGTAGAAGAAAATAAATGAAGAGATGACCAGAAGCAAATTGGACAGACTCAATTTCAGTAGCAATGGGTACACTAAGGGCCAGTTTGGGGACAACATATATGGTCACTAAGGGTCAACACAAACTAAACTTGATGGCACCTAATCAATTGAACCTGTTCTGTCAGCATGGTAACCAATAAGCTGATGAGCATTAACAATGCAAGATCTCAGGAAGAGATAATTCCTAATTTAGGAAATGAGGTGCTCAAGATTGTATATGGAACCATCTGGAGAAATCAGTATGGATTTTGCCTGTGTATCCTCCTGTACAGATACTGGCCCAAAATGTGAGCCAAAGATTAACTGGCATAATGCATATAACCACTGTTTCATAACACTCACCTTCTGCCGTGCTCTGGGTCAGGTTATGGTCTGTATCCCAAAAGGGAGTGTTAAAGAGAGGGCTACACACAAGGGCTCTTCTCTGGGTCTTTATGTATTGGAGTAATTCATATAATACATCTCCTGTGAGGGAAAAAAAATATAAATACCAATCCCACTTCATTTGTATCAATACCAACTGGTGACAAAAACAAAGCAATTTTGGAGCACCTCCACCCCTCCATTTGCTGTTTATTTCAAAAGGACTATTTCAACTTGGGGAACTTTTGCAAACCAGAAATATAGTTTCATTGCACACATTTGTGGGAATCTGAAATTTTCTGTTAAAACTTGCAATGCATTCAACGCATTCAGTTTGAATTAATTTGTTACCTCCTGCCCCAAGGAAGCACATTTTTGAAAAATGTATTCATATAAAGATGATCAAACAGCCACTAGAGTAGCCTGGTTCTTTCCATCAGACATCTATCACATTGTAAAGCTGCTTGATCCATAGGGCTTTGGTTCAACCAATAAGTCCTTGTCAAGAAAAGACAATTTGGAAGGCAAATCTATTTCAAAGGACATTAGAGACTTCATACATCTCATAGTCTTTGAGTTATTCCTCATTTATATTTGCTATATGGGATAATTTTGAGATAAGAATGCAAACACACAAAGCCTTGACCAAGGAGGGCAACACCTCTAACCTGAATTAGGAGCCCGAAATTTGAAATCTTCCTTGGTTAGAATACAAAGGGCTTTTCCATTCATTTCAAAGTTACTATCGTCGGATTTCCTGAGTGAATATTCTTTTTCAGCCCATCTTAGCCAGTGAATCACATCATCTTTGCTCCATAGAAAGGGTTGTATTCCTGAAATCAAACCAGGTTGCAGATAAATTAACATACCTACCCAGTCAGTTTTTTTGCCCTTCTTTTGGAAAAAGCATAAAATGTCTCAAAAAGCAAGTAAAAGACATCTCAGCAATTATTATTAGAACTCATTCCCTCTCCATAAGTTGTAAAGATAGATCGGTACATTTTCAAAAGATTTTTTTTTTAAAATTCTCTGTGATAGGAAGCAACTTTACACCAAGTCCGACTAACTGATCATCTACTCCTTGTTTCCTCAACTAGATGTCTTCAAGATGTATCAGCCTAGAATCCCACCAACTGCAGGCAATTATTTATCTGATCTGATAGACTCCAATTTACGATATGCTGGACTATAACTATAGCTGGGGAATACTGGAATTGTAGTCGAAACACAACTAATTTGTATAGTGTTATCTTTACATTAGGGACAGATAACACTTTCTAAGCCAAGATTGCTTAACCACAAATGGTAGTGGAACTACACTGCAAAAAGTAGGAGAACCATGCCAAAATTTAAATTAGATTTCATTTAAATGTAATCAAAATCCAAATAAATAAACTTATTTAATACAGATAATAAGAAAAAAAATGTAATCCTTCTGTTTAGTGTCATATTAAAATTCCAACTTGGTGGCCCTGCTTAGAGAAGCCTGTAGAGCACATATCCAAGGCTTTAAGGAACCACCTTTGAAAAGCTGCCTTAAATAATACCTCTTCTACTCACTGAGTCGGCCTGGCAATGTGCAGATTTGTCCATCATAGAGCGACTTTACTGATGTCTTCGAAGTGGCCACAGGGGTGAAAGAGCCAGCTGCCACTTCAACCTTAAGGGAGAAGAAAGATATTGAAGCTGTATAGATTCCCTACAGGAAATCAGCTGTATTTCCGCAGTGCCTCTTCTGGTACTTTGCACTGCCTAGAAGTCGGATAAATGAGAATCTATGAAGGAAAACCTTTTCAGCAGAAATTCTGCTGTATAGGCAGGAGAGAGATCCAGGTCAAAAATCTTTGTGGGATGACAATTGCTTTCAAAGCTAAACTATACCCCAGAATCGCTAGGCAGATAAAATGGATCAATTACACAGAGAAAGGATGGGATAAAAGTTGTAGACATATAAAAGGGTAGAAGCGTTAAGTAATCAAGCAAAAGTTGCTGGACAGTCCTAGAACCATTTTTGAAGACTGTGGACTGGTGAAACTCTGTTTACCAAAGAGAGACATGCAATTGGGGTGACAACAATGGCAAGCAAGACAAGGGAAAGAGAGAGAGAGATTTGCTGAACAAACTGGCTGGTGGAAAAGACTATTGTACACTTTTGGAAAACAGAGCAGATTGGTAAATGTGTTTTGAATCCAAGAAGTCTGAAAAAGAGTCTATCTTCCCTCAGATAGAAGGAAGTCTAAAAGGGAAAATACAGAAAGGAGCAGCAGAAGACTGAGAAACAGATAAGACATTATAAAAAGCTTTGTTTGAAATCATCTACTCTATATTAATTATGAATATTAATTTCTTTGGCCTCACTCTGCAGACACTCCTGAAATCTGGAAAGAAAGCAGCTGCAGATTATTAAAACTCACAAATCAAGAAATACCTAAGTTTAGGTACTCTACCTAAGAGTAGAGTTCACCAAATATTTGATGAAGTAAACTCTAATTCATGAATGTAGATGCCATAATAAACAAATTACTCTTCACAAGAACCATTGTTGATTTTGCAGCTGCAATTGCTTTACCATTGCATAAATGTCTTATGCAGATTTACTTTTAAAAAGTTTCAGATTCATTCTTAAGCACCAGGCAATAAAGAACATGAAAGTGAAAGATGCCTACATGTTTTCATTTCAGTTTTGTTCTGGTAGCTTGTTTAAAAAAATTAATTATAATGGTATAGAGTATAGGGGTGTCATTTTTATTCGTTTGATATTTTATATATCTATATTTATACATGTACATGCTTACAGTATAATTTGACTGTAAATTGCTCTGTCCTGCCAAGCAGTATATTAATTCATGCATATAAATAAGTAAATGATTTCCAAAGATCTTTGTTTTAAAATAAGTAAATGATTTCCAAAGATCTTTGTTTTAAAAGAAAGAGTAGCATACCATCTCAATGTACACAACAATAATGCCTGGTTTAAACAAATGTTCCCACAGATGGTGTTCAGTTATCCTCCTTCTCTGTAGAGAAATATATTTTGATAAGGCATGTACAGCTTCTCATACAGGAATGCATAACCCACATAGTCTACACCAGCATTTTTCAGACATGGCAACTTTAAGATGTGTGGAGTTCAACTCAACTTGCTGGCTGGGGAATTGTAGGCATTGACCTCCACACATCTTTCCCAATCAGGCACTATCATTTGTGTTAAAGTGCAGTACCCATAATCCCCAACAATGGCATGCTATGAGTCCCATCAGTTAAGGAATGCTGGCTTGCAGGAACTAAGAAGCATGCCTTCTGCCATAGTTCTTGCCCTCTGGATCATTCTTCTTTCAGAGCTGAGGATGATCCAGACCCTATTGGCCTTTAGAAAAGACTTGGAAGACTTATTTGAGATGGGCAGCTATGGAAATTGATTGATTGATTGACTAAATGAATAAATAAACATACCCTAAAGCAATGTTGATTGGGAATCACTGCAGCACCCCAGGTTGAGGAAAGCTGGTGTACATTTAAAATAGTTCCCTTCCATTTTCTATCCCAGAGTTTAAAATAGAGGGAAGGATACAACCCCAGATTTTAAAAAAGCGTTTAAGCTTTGCTTGCATGAATCAAGCCTTAGAATAAGGGATCCACTATTTTCCCATTTGAAACAGCTTCACGAACTCACATCTGAATTATTTTTGCCCAACAAAACACTGTTTCTCAGAGAAAACAGTTAGCTGCTTAATGTCTCCTTTTTCTTGTGAAAAGTCTGGGGAAACTCCAGACTTTGTCCATGTTGAAGCGCTTTTATTTTGAACCACCCAGAGAAATGATTTCAGTGGGGATTCAGCCTAGTCCAGAGAACCCCAATGCTTTCTGAAGCGGGGGAAGCACCCTTGCCGAGACGCCTCAGTTTTATGCATCCCGTGTTTCCAGCCCGTAGGAAGGAGGGCAATATAAGAATCGGGGAAGCCGCCTGGCGAAAACGCAGCGGCAACTGTCCAGGTCGGACCTTGGGATGGCTGAGCATTAGGCGAGAACACATGGGGGAAATCTACGGCGCTGGGCCAAGGCAGGGAAAGTCCGGGAAGATCGAGGGGTCGGAGCGCCTGTTGCTCTCCCCAAGTTCTTACCTGCATTACAAGGGGAGGCGAGAGGGGGAACCGCAGAGCCGGGATCGTCCGGATGCGCGCAGAATCCTAGCCAATTCCCCACCAGCCTCCCTTCAGCCCAGGCGGTGCTGGTTGTCCTTCCGGAAAACGAAAACGAAAGGCGCCGCTCCGAAAGCTGCTGGAGTTTGGCCGTGAGTCTTTCTCGCCTTATTCCGCCCCTTGGCAGACCGCCCGCGGGACCGGCGGCGCTCCCAAAGACCCGCGCTGCACTCTCACGACGCCTTTGCCCCTCGCCCGACGCTGCTCGGAGCGTAAAGTTCCCCAGACGGGTTGGGTGGATCCGTTGTGCTCGCTAGATAGACCCAGATTGGAATTTCGCACCCGAAAACTAGGGCCATATGCCCCGAGGCAGGAAAGCCGAAGCGAAACCTTGCGGGACGAAAGGGCGCTTTCTGAGGGAAAGCTGGTCTCCGCAGCTTAGCCCACCTCCCACCGATGTTGGCTTATGGCGCGGAGTCAAACCAGGCCAGCGCGCTTACATTTGTTACATTTAATTCCAATATCAACGGGTGCCTCTCGACGAAGCGTGGCTGCAGGTGCACTTTAGGTTCAGAGTCATACATGCGAAATGATTAACTTTAAATAGCTTGTACACAAATCATGCCTCGCAGTTCAGTATAATACCGAAATGTATTATATGTATTATAAATGGAAGGGAAAGTGGTGTTTTACTTCCTCCTGGAAACTATGTAAACAAAATTCTGAGATAGCCAAGTCAGAGCCTTCTTCAGTCTAGGGAAGGCCTGCACAACTTTGTCTGGCAGAGGGTGTGTCAAATCCTTTTCACTATTAAAAAGTAATGAAGCTAGGACAAAAGAGGAATGAAGCCAGGACAAAACTAAACCTAGTTAAACTCACTATAATTAATCTTCAAGTTTCCAAAGTGGTTTTTTCTGGCCCATTTTAAAATGTGAAATGGCTGGCAACTTTTGGGGATCAACTGTCACTTCAAGCGATACTTGTTAGGGGGCAATTCTCCTTCTGATACATTAAGGCAATCATGCTCATACACAAGCATAGAATCCTTGAGTTACTTCTGATCTATGCTACTACTAGTAGAGATTATCCCGATAGTTAAATGTGATAAGTTTTGATAATTTGCTTTTTCTTGCTGTAAACTGTCTCGCAGCCTTGGGTGATATACAGATTCATGTAATAAATAAATAACCAACCCACACACTACTTGAATGAAAGGGTAAGGTTCCAGGAACTTTGCTGCCCAAATCTCATTATTAATCTCAGCCTAGATCAGTCAATACTGATTAGTTTTCTGGGCATCAGCGAATGTAGGAAATCAAGTGACTGCCTACTACCACCAGTTTACAATACATTGAGAACACACCATTATTGAATTGTAAGATTACCAGATCTAGAAGGCTAAAATCTGGATGATCTCTAGATGCAGCAAAGGGTTAACATTGTCTGAATATCTTTAATATCTTTTCTGCCTTCTAGTGAGTGAGTGTCCAGATTTTTGTAGCCCGGGTCTGATGACCTTCATAAAAGTTAATTGTACTGAGATGAATGTGGTCACACTTGCTGATGGTCTTTGGCAGAGCTGGTATGGGATGGTGCATCTATCCTTATGCTCCATTTCTTAGTGACTTTTGATGCCATCAGTCTCAGTATCCTTCTGGACCAGCTGTAGGGACTAAGAGTGGAGGATACCATATTAATGGCTCTCCTCCTTTTATGGTCCATTTCAATTGCTGCCAATGTTAGGAGAATGGTCAAATCCACATGCAATCTTTGTGGCATGATGTAGGGCAGTGATGGTGAATCTTTTAGAGACCAAGTGCCCAACACCCCCCCAGCCCTGTCCTTGCTCTGCCGTGCCCGCTGGACCACCCACCACCTCCACAGCCCACCACAGATCACCCAGGCAGCCCAGCAGCTCCATGGTGGCCACGCCCTCCGCCCGTGTCCTGCAGCATCATCTGCACGTGATGGGGTGCAAGGGTGGAGTCTTGTTCCCACTGCCCGGCTACCATGTCCTTGGCTGCGCAGCATTGCGTGGGCCGTGCCCGGGGGTGACTCTCCTCTGGAGGGCTGCTGTTGAGGAGGGGGCCGTGGGAGGAGGCGGGGCTGGGGAGACGGTGCGTGTGCCCACAGAGAGGGCTCCGAGTGCCACCTCTGGCACGCGTGCCATAGGTTCGCCACCACTGATGTAGGGGCTTGATTCTTTCTCCCTCCTGTTCAACATCTACATGAAACCAGTGCTTGAGTTCATGCATTGTTTTGGGGTTTGCTATCATCAGTATACTATTCCATTGTGCATCTTGATCTTGGACCATCCTTGACTTGCTGTCAATGTTCTGTCCCAGTGTCTAGACTAGAGGCTGTGAAGATTTGATCCTGGGAAGCTTCCATTTCTAGTCTTGGATAAGGCAGCATTATTCTTTGAGATGAATGGGCAATCTGGGGGTTGCTCTGGATTCAAACTCCTGCTTGAGGAGGATATAGCAGCTATTGCCAAGAGAGTCTTCACATAGATCAGGGGTGTCAAACTGCCGGCCCACCAGGCCGGATGTGTCACGACGAAACCACGCCGGCAATGGGGAAAAAGCTCTGATACGTCGCGCAACGTCACGTGATGTCGCGAATTTGACATATCTGACATAGACCCATCTAATATGCTTATTGTGCCTGTTCCTGGTTTGGGAGGCCCTCCAGATGGTCATTCATGCCCTAACCACCTCATGAATGAACTATCGTGTTGGGATTTGTAAGGGTTTGCCTTTGAAAACAATTTTGAACTAGAATGTGGCAGCATAGGCAGTAATTAGCATGGCACGGTTTTGGGGAACATAAAACTGTCTGTGTGTTTCCATTGTTTTCTATGGTTGAAATGTTTTGGATTTATAGAATTGCTTTAAGTTTGTTCTGTCAATATATACTTCAGACTTTTTGATGAGATATTTTGGGTGAAATGTTTTTTTCCAAGCTCAAAGCAGCAATTCGCATTTCATGTTTGATCATTTTAAACAAACAAACAAACAAACAAACAAATGGGAAGCCGGCTCATAGCAAAGCAGAGCATTAGCCTCAACCACCATCTTGATTTCCACAAAGGCCAGTAGATTCTACATGCAGCCCAGTTCTCAGAAACAGAAGATAAATATTGCAGTTGACTAAAGTTCAGGTTTTCTTTGGAAAATAAAAATTGATTGAGCTAATAGAGAACATCCTGGGAGGAAGAATGGGTAGCAGGAAGTAATTTCACCAGCTTGTGACCAACCACTGGTGTTCATGCTTATTGCTGGAAATTACTGAGGGGAATTTCCAGTTTAGTTGGTATCCAGCACGTTCTCAGTCATTCTCTCTATCCAGATCAGAGCAAGCACAGAAGCCACTCAGTTTGGATAGCAAAGCATCTAGCTTGATCTTTATTTATTAAACACCAGCAAATGTCAAACAGAGTTAACTGGCAAACCCAGGATAAAAAGTAAGAAAAATAGACAGCAAGAACAACAAACTACAGGCAACAATTTACATTACGGTATCTATGTACAGTATCTATATCAAAAAGCACAGAACTTTCCAGCACCACTGAAAATAATGCTGTGCATGTTAGCATGAAGAATCTCAAAGGGAACAGCCTTTACTTACTGCACCTTTAATCTTTTTATGTGCATAACAGTAGCAGAATAAAGATGGAAAATAGGAAACCAGACCACCCTTCTATTCTGAGCCATGAAAGAAAATCTAATGAGTGGGGTTGATGTATCCAAGACGATGTGTTTTACGACATTTTCTCAACAAGGGTCCCTTGATAGTGAGATGGGCAGCATATAATTTAATAAATAAAATAAAAAATAAAATAAGTTTCAAATGTACCCACTAATCCCAAAAATGTCAAGGGGTGGGGAATAATGTTCACAGGGATACAGTATGCCAACATTTATAAGATGGTAGGCAAGAGATCATGACCAGTATATATGTTTTTTGCATTTCAAAGACTTTGCAGTCTCTTTTTTATTTTCTTTCACTTGCTATTCACCTTTACAGCTTGAGATCTCTATATCAGTGGTGGCGAACCTATGGCACGGGTGCCAGAGGCGGCACTCACTCTCTGTGGGCACGAGCACCGTCACCCCAGTCCTAGGCCTTCAGCTGGGTTTTATAAAACCTTTGCGCTTTAGGCCTCCGCCGCCATGTGCAAAAAAAAAAAAGTTTCAATTAATCAATTTCATCTTCTCTTGGGAAAAAAAAGATCTTGCACAGTTGGAATTGATTGATTGAACTTTTTAGTCCCACCCAGTCTGCCATTACCTGCGCAGCCACGCCCAGCCAATGGGTCACGCCCAGCCAATGGGCCACACCCACCCGGTACCCGACGATGCATAAGTGGGTTTTGGGTTGCAGTTTGGGCACTCAGTCTCTAAAAGGTTCGCCATCACTGCTCTATATTAAATACCTTTGTGTTTCCTAAATATACCCTATATAGTCCACCATCCTTCAAGCTCTTAGATCTTACCACCAAGGATGAGGGGTGTGTCGCTTTTGTACACAGTGCATATTCCGTGAAGAGTTTTCAGGTTTATGAGTCACCAGGAGGCAGGCACTATGTGATTGGTTAGTGAAGTTATTCTATGGGGCTCAAACCCTAGTAGGGTCTGATGAGTCCTCAATACATGCAGTCCTCAACTTACAAACTGGGATGAAACTGGGAACTGAAAACATTACACAGTCTTCTCTCAAGCTTTTTAATGTGTTCATGGTAATAGCTAGGCTGCATTAATAGAGGGATAGAATCAAGATCCCGTGAAGTTCTAGTACCACTTTACAAAGCCTTAGTAAGACCACACTTGGAATACTGCATCCAGTTCTAGTCACCACAATATAAAAAAGATGTTGAGATTCTGGAAAGAGTGCAGAGAAGAGCAACAAGAATGATGAGGGGGCTGGACACTAAAACATACAAAGAATTGTACAGAATAGCTTGTCTTCAGAAGTTGTGGGTGCTCCATCACTGGAAGCTTTCAAAAAGAAACTGGACAGCCATTTGTCTGAAATGATATAGGGTCTCCTGCTCGAGCAGGGGGTTGGACATCCAAGGCCACTTCCAACGATTATTATATGTTCTGTGCTTTAATATTGTTGCTTATTTTTTTGTTCTTTAATTCCCTTGTTTTCATTCTTAGGTTTTGTTTTTATCATAAAAAGACAAGTCAATCAATCAGTACTTTCAGATTTCCTTCCTTAGTAGATAGCTACATTGTGCTAGGCCACCATTTAAGCATGGTTTATTAATAAACCACAAATGGGTTCACACCATATTAAACAAACTTTAGTTGACAGACCATTAGAGGTGGATTGCCTTAACATAAAAACCAAACAAACCAAACAAGCAACCTAGAACTAAGGAGAAACTTCCTGACAGTTAGAACAATTAACCAGTGGAACAACCTGCCTCCAGAAGTGGTGAATGCTCCAACACTGGAAGTTTTCAAGAAGAGACTGGACAGCCATTTGTCTGAAATGGTATAGGGTTCCTGCCTGAGCAGGGGGTTGGACTAGATGACCTCCAAGGTCCCTTCCAACATTGTTGTTGTTGTTGTTGTTATTATTATTATTATTATTATTATATCACTGTTGTTTGATGGTATGTGTTTGGTATCGTATAGATACATTTTAATGAAAGCTTACTTTTAATTAAATTATTAAACTTTTATAATGTGGATATCAAGGTAGTAATAACTGACATGGAATATATTAGAGCAGTTTAAATGTGGAAAGAAGTCTGTCCCAAAGACTCAGTGACATTCATCAACAGTATATAGATTTTAGATAAACTACCAACAAGTGGATAGAGAGCAATTATCCAAAGCCAGGAAAGAAAGCAGCTGCTCTTGTAAGAAGCTCCCAATAGCTCTGTCCCTTGCTATTACAAAGCAGTAGAAAAGGGAAGGGTCTTGATCATCCAATCTCCGTCTCCATCTTTGCTTTTTAGATATTTGTCCCTTTTCTGCAGACATCCCTGGTCCATAAATTCTTGAAACCATATTGTGCTCTCTGATCCAGACCTCTGCCTATTTCTAGTGGCAAATGTCTCTCCATTATCTCTGAGAAAGACTGGAGAATAGGGTAAAATATCAGCTCACTGGAGTTATAGGCCTCCACAGGGGCGGGAAAGAGAGTGACAAAATTTGTGCTGTTCTATTGCAATGCAAGCATAAAAGGAAGAGTTTGTATTATGATTTTACTAGGTGCCTGGGGACATTGTGGGCAGGAACAGATCCTATACAGCAAATATTTTGGTTTTCAGAAAAGGGTCCAGGAAATATAAATTAATTGGCATTGGTTCTTGGGAACATTCCAAAGTAGTGTTTTTCAAACTTGGCAACTTTAAGATGCATGGACTTCTACTCCCAGAATTCTCCAGTTGGTCCCATGGAAATTATGTAAATACTGTAGTTCTCCATTTGAAATACCTATTTCACCATATATATGGCTTACAGGGATGTGCCACAGAATGAGAATTAGAAGTGGCGACTTTATTAGTGAACCCACTCCTTGCAAATGTCATGTTGGCTGGGGAATTGTGGGAGCTGAAGTCCACTGATCTTTAACTTGTCAAGATTGAGAAACACTGGGAACCCCTCAGTTAGAGGGGGGCAATAATGGATTAATAGAGCAATATAAGATGAAGGAATAAATATATATTATTTTATACTTGTTAAATTAGAAAAAAAGTCTCCTTGTAGGGGAGATGGGCGGCATAAAAATTTAATAAATTAATAAATAAAAATAATAAATAAAACGGTGGTTATTTATTGCCATTTTTAAGGCACGCAGTTTGAACACATCCTTTGCAGGGCGGTATTCCCAGAGTAAAGGCGCTTACCGACAGCATACGCATGTTGCCTCTTGTTTTCCTTTGCTGGGCAGGGACTCTTAATTTGAAATAATGCTCATGAATAATCATTTGGATTTAGACGGGGTGGGGATTGCTAATATCAGCTCCTCTGCCGCTTGGATTTATCCACATCGTTGTTAAAAGTAGGTTTCCAGGTTGCAGAGCTGATTCATTAGCTGGGATCCTTTAGTGAATGCCGGTAAGTAGATGCTAATAATTGCCTCTCTACATTTTTCTGGAGGAACCTGAGTTCAGAATAGAAATGAATGTCGATCAGACCAAAGTTTTCCACGCATATATTTGACTGCGGCCTAAAAGAAACAGAAAGTGCCTTTCAATCGTTCTGAGATTTCTGGCCATTTAAAGCTAAGATTACATTACGTAATTGAGGCATGGGAAAAGTATCCAGTCATGAGAAAGAAAGAAAAACTATAGGGGAAAAAATGCCCAGGGTTTTTGCGTTGGAAGGATTCCCTTGCAGGTTTCGTGCAGGGCGCAAAGCGAGCAGGGACCTTGAGTTCGTTTTCCTTGCTCTCTCTTCTTACAAAGACCCGGGGTTGGGCAGAGGTTGGATTCAGCAATGGCCTTCCTTCTTCCAGGGCGATGCTCCTCCATGAAGAAAGAAAGCCCTTCCCAAGGTTAATGGTATCGTACATTGCAGCTTTACTGGTATCGTTTCTCTTTTAATTGTTGCCTACATAAATGCGTAGATTTACTCCCACGTCATTCCGAGATGCAGTTTTTAAAAAAATACTATATTCGGATCCAAGGGATTGATTCATTTTTCTAAGGCAAATTATCTGACAATTTTGGCGGTGTTATTCAGCCGATCTTCAGATAAATTGCTTTGGGTATTAGATTTTTTTTTTTCTACCAATGAACAAATATACTTTGAGACGGAGGTTTCTCGACACTGTTTTAATAATTAATTTACATTAATGTAAATTATAATGTGGGAATATTTTAAAATATGTGCCTTTTCTGTTATGTGAAATAAGATAGTCTGGCAAAACAATAGGTAAAAGCATTTTAAAAATCTAAAATAATTTATGCTTTTTTTAAAATTGTCAATGCAGACCAAGGAATAGTAGCAAAATCTGCCGTGTTGTGATAAACTGAGTATAACATATTCCCAAATAGCTTGAAGCTGTGAAATCTCAGAAATAAATCAGAGAAGCAAAATGATAAATCGGGTTTTAGAGACCAAATTTAGGAAATTTGAAAGGAAACACTAAAAATGTCGTGCCTGGCATATTATTCTGCTTTCTGTCACCTGAGCTTTCTGTCATGTCCTGATTAATAGGTAAATTGAAGGACCTTAGTCCTTAATGCAGGGGTGGGAAACTTTACAACCTGAGGGCTACAATTCCCAGAATTCCTGTCTCACCATGGCTGGCTCTGGAATTCTGGGAGTTGAAGTCCACAGGTCATAAAGCTGCCATAATTGCCTATCCCTGCCTCAATGTCTTCTGTATTGATGAGGTCAAGAATGTTACACTTTTTCCTAAAACAGTCTTACCCCCACTTTTTCATCCAAGTCATTAATTAAAAATTTGAACAGGCCAGACAACATCACACTTGGTGAATCTAGTTTTTACTCCACAAAATGACAGAACATTGCCATATGATACTTTAATAGAACTGGAGTCGGAAATCAGTGTTGTTGGGTTCTCTTTTTTTGTTAAAATACAAAGATGGCTTTTCTTTTATTAGATGTGCTCAAGCAGAAGCCAGAGAGCCATCTGTTTTATAGAATCATAAAATCAAATGGTTGAAATAGATTTGAAGCTGATCTAGTTCCACTATTAAGTAAAATATTTTTTGCCCAAAAGGGAATGCAGTATCATACATCACTGTAACATATGAATTAGCATCTAGAGCACCATGTCTCTAATCATCAGCTGGACCCATTAGTTGCTTCCAGAAAAAGACACATGGCGGAATGCATATGAAATACAGTGGTATTTTTTATTGAATTAGTTGTAGTTTTAAATCCCCCGTGTCTGTGTAAATCATGAATGATAAATAAGTGTCAAGATAGTCTTCATGTTCATGTAGTAGACATTCCCAATTTTTTCCCATGACTCCTTAGATTTTTGAGCATCTGATTTTGCATCTAAAAATAATTTATAAATTGCTGTTGTTACATTTGTAAATAACATCTGTAAAGGATCTTCTAGTACTGTACTAGAGAGAATTCTTCAACTTAATAACCCATTCCATTTCTTGAATTAAAGTGTTATCTTGCTGTTTTGTGGTTTGGATTCCCTGTAGGTAATCTTTGAGGATCAAGTGGGAGCTGCATGCCACACCTCTCTAATAAATTAACATGGCAGAAGGGGAAACATGCTTTACAAGTTATTTCCAATGGTCAAATTTTTCCATCCATTCTTCTGAAAAAGAAGTTAATAATTTCTGCTTCTGACAGTGAAAACTTCCTAACTGAAAAATGACTGTTCCTCAAACCTTCTTGTTTTCCAAATAAATAGGGAAAAAAGCATTAAATGTCTGGAAATATGCTTGTCGTGTATACTACAAGTTGCTTGAACCAAAGTCATTTTTCTCCAGATTTTTTTTTTATGGAAGGCTCACCTGTCCATATCTGTTGCTATTTAAATATTAAAAGTTGTTCGGGAAGAGCTGCTGGTTTTGTAGGTCTCTTCCTTTTAATTATATATCAACAGTATGGAAAATAGCAGGAGAACAAAGGGAATCATCTTCAGTGCTTCTGTGGTTGCAGAGTGAGTAATGCTAGTAGGCTAGAAGAGCAGCCATTGTCCATCAATTATACATTGGTCTGAATTGCTTACTTCTCTTTCTATATTTAGATGAGCCTTGCATTTCTATTTTTATTCCTTTTTATTCTTGCAGGGTTTCTTTTACTTTGTGTTAGTTTTTAATCTTTTTAATTGTGATGTTTAATAAAATTATTATAAAAAGAAGTCTTAGTGCAGCGAGAAAAGCTTTTCTCTAATATAAACAGTCCCAGTCTCTAGAGCAGGCGTCTCCAACTGCCAGCCTGCGGGCCGGTTGCATCATACAGACGCCGTGCCCACCCCAGCAAAAAAAAGTCATGATACGTCACGACACGTCACGTGATGTGGCGAGTTTGACACCCGTGCTCCAGAGGGACCTCCTTGGAAAAAAACAGCTCTAGATAGCATTCTTGGATTGCAAAAGATTGGAGCCTCCCTAGTCCTAGAATGGGTGGCAGATGCAATTATACAGGGGAAGCACAGCACAAAGAAGACCCAATTCCAGAGGTTCTGTAGTGGCAAGACTCTTTCAGAGTGGACAGTTAATGCTTTATTTTTCTCCTTACTTGTCCTTATATGTTAATTATATAATTTAACATCTATATATCTAGGGCAGTGATGGCGAACCTATGGCACGGGTGCCAGAGGCGGCACTCAGAGCCCTCTCTGTGGGCACGCACGCTGTCGCCCCAGTCCTAGACCTTCAGCTGGGTTTTATAAAATATTTTCGCTTTAGGCCTCTACTATGTGCAAAAAAAAAAAAAAAGGTTCAATCAGTCAATTTCAACTTCTCGCAGGGAAAAAAAAGATCTTGCAAAGTTGGAATTGATTGATTGAACTTTTTAGTCCCACCCAGTCTGCCGTTACCACCGCAGCCATGCCCACCCAATAGGCCACGCCCACCCAATGGGCCACACCCACCCGGCACTCGACAATGCATAAGTGGGTTTTGGGTTGCAGTCTGGGCACTCAGTCTCTAAAAGGTTCGCCATCACTGATCTAGGGCCATCTTTAACACACAAGAAATGTATTCTTTTGTGGGCTTTACTTTTTTCTTCTCCATTTCATCTTTTCTTTTTTTCTGCAGATACTTGCAGAAAATACTGCAAGTGGTTAGAATGCAGTATTGCAGGCTAACTCTGCCCACTGCCAGGAATTCAGTCCTGACAGGTTCAAAGTTGACTCAGGCTTCTATCTTCCTGAGGACCCAGATTGTTGGGGGCATTATGTTGACTCTGTAAACCAGTTAGAGAGGGCTGCAAAGCACTATGAGGCGATATGTAAGTCTAAATGCTATTGCTAGCATTACTTAGAATATATTTTATAAAGTCGATTACCAGAGTACCCCACCAGCCTTCAAGTCTTTCTGGTACGATATAGAGGTCTTCCCTGGAAAGTGGCCTCTCTGCCAGCTGTCTTTACCAACGATAGGTCCCAACTGCAGTGATTATATCTAAGGATATGGAAATTCATCGCCAATTTGTCACCCTTTCCAATTTTCTCTAATCTGCCCTAATAAGAAAAGCAAAACCAAAGTCAGACTTTGTGTAAACATAATAACTGTCTTGGTTAACATAAAAATGGAATTGGTCCCCACCCTTTTCTCTGGGAGAAGATCCAGTAAAAGGAAAAACAGAATGGTTGCACGGTGTCTTTTATTGGCAATATTGCCTCAAAGTTTCCTTTACAGTTGACAGAATGCCCTGAAATAGTCCCAAGCTGATAAAGTTGATAAAATTGGGGTGGAGATAGCTTGACTATGAGAGGAACATGAAGGAAATCCTGCTCTGCAAACATTTATGGAAACTTTAGTTTCTTGGCCTTAACTTAAACCACAAGTTCTTTTCCAAGCATAGTTTGCATAGTCTTTAGGAAATGTCTATGGAAATTCTCAGTCATCCAGGTAATGGTTGTCCCAAAGGTGCAACTGGGCTTTCTTTATTTTTCTTTGAAGATGTTTCGCTTCTCATCCAAGAAACTTCTTCAGAAAGCCCAGTTGCCTTTTGAAAAAGCATCTTTGGGACAGTCTTCAGCAAGATTTCTTGAGAAGAAAGAGATGGGGTACAAGAATTCCAGCAGCTGAATTATATCCCATCTGCAGCCAACATATCCCTATAACATGTTATGGTGAAATGTTCCCTTGTTTGTTTTTTCTTGCTGGTCCCTGTCTGGAAAGCTGGAAGGTGATTCTTTTAAAAAATTGTCTCCTGAATCCTTGTCAATCTGGAAACCAATCAGTTCGGAAGCACTGAGCTCTAGAACCAATTCTGTAGTGTTTATAAATATATCTTGATAGAAATTTAATATTTCATAATGAAACATAAGCATACCTTTTAATATTTCCATATTGGAGGAAAGTGTAATGTGAGAGGGTAATCAAATCACATTAGGTTTTTATGGTAGTACTTGGAACTGTATGTGCTTCAGAAATAAAGTAGAATAATTTTTCCCCGGGCTCTATGCAGCCCCCCCCTCAATATGCCATTGCTTAAAGAACTGCATTAACTTTAATAGTAGATATCTTGAAATATCTGCATGTCTTTCAGACTTCTGCATGTTCCAATGCAGTTCCTTCACATCATTTTTGGAAACATGCACAGATCTAGTAACCATTCCCCTGTATTCATAGTCCAAACTAAGTTGCCCATGCCTTGTTTTGATTTTGGTTTAGCTTGTTGTTCAAATATAGCAATTGTGGTTAGTTCAATAAACCATAGTTGATTAAGGCTTGGTATTATGCGTGAAACCAGGCACTATTATATACAGTACACATACAAAGACTGGATGTAATATGTTAATCATAAGAAGAATTCAAAAATACATTAAGCACATATCTTCTTTAAGTCAATTTTGCAAAAAAAACAACATTGAAAATTTTAAGTTTGTTGGAATTTCATCAAGCAAGACGAGGGTTTCATTGACCAATAATATCTCTCAATTCCTGTAGCTGGCTAAACCGTACTGTAATTTGATGATGATTTTAAGTAGGAAGATGAAGAGTCAAAAAGGCAAATCCCTGGAACAAAATTTATGTAAGTTGCATGTTGTTTTTGAGACATGCAGTGAAATGTGCTGTGATGAGAAAAGAAATTAAACATATTCATATGTCAGTCCCATGATACTATTTAGAGAACTGGATTTATTTTTAAATGGGAGTATGTCAATAGGACAATTTTGGGCTGCTAATAAAAATGGCTAACTGGAGGATTGGAAAAACAAATAGATATTTCATTAGATTTACAGTATGATCTTAAATATTGTTCAACAGTATTTCACATTGTTATTAGCTGCTAACTTAAAAACTTAGATTGTTATTTGGTGTTGTAGTTAAAAGAGCCAGTGTAATGTGACAGTTAAGGCACCAGGCTAGAAACTGGCTGATTGTGAATTATAGTCCTTCTTTAGGCACAAAGCCAGTTGGGTGACCTTGGGCCAGTCATCTACTCACAACCCTAGGAAGTAGGCAATGGCAAGTCACTTCTGAAATCTTGTTGTTAAGAGTCAAGACTAACTCAAAGCACCTCCCCTCCCAAAAGATCCTGTTCGCTTTTTTGCTTTCTTATAGCTAAGGACTTGAGCTAAGAAGGAATAGGTAGCATTATATTGAAAATGTAAGAGAAAAGTGAATTCATCACAAAAAAGGAAATTAATTTGCTTTTATTTAATTTTGATATTTATTATTCCCATGTGCTGTTTCTTCAAACTTCCAGTATGGCAGTTTGGCTAATGAGGCTGCTTCAAAAATGGCATTTTCTTTTGGATGATGTGCAAATCTGAATACTAGTGTCCATGTCTCTTGTTTTGTTTGCTGTGTGTAAACTGTTGAGAATCTACTGTTAAGTTTTCCAAGAAGAATACATCTAGCATGGGGTAGGCAACCCAAAACACTCAAAGAGCCACTTGGACCCGTTTCCCACCGAAAACAAAACACTGGGAGCCGCAAAATCCTTTTGATATCTAAAATGAAGATAACACTGCATATATCCTTTTTTACCTTTATTATAGGTATATATATAGGTCTGCCAGTCCTCTACCCCCACTCAGTGTGTGTGTGTGTGTGTGTTTGTGTGTGTGTGTGAAAGAGAGAGAGAGGCACTTGCGCTTCCACCACTCTCTCTCTCTCCCTCTCTCTCTCTCTTTCCTCTTTCTCTCTCTCTCTCTCCTCCCTCTCTCTCTTTCTTCTCTCTTTTTTCTCTCTCTTTCCTCTCCCTCTCTCTTTCCTCTCCCTCCCTCTCTCTCCTTCTCTTTCCTCTCCCTCTCTCTCTTTTTTTCTCTTTCCTCTCTCTATTTCTGTCTCCCCCCTCTCTCTCCGATCTTCTGCTCACCTGGCAAGCTGTTTTCAAGCTGTTCCCCAACAGGCTGGCTCTCTCCTGCCCTTCCTGCTTCCTGCTGAGATGCAGCAAAGGGAGGAGCCCCGCCCAATAAGCTTGTCAGCTCATCGGAACAGGGTGAGCCTACTCTTTTTTACACACACACATACAGAGAGAGAGAGAGAGAGAGAGAGAGAGAGAGAGAGAGAGAGAGAGAGAGAGAAGGGAAGCGCAAGTGCCTCTCTCTGCAAATGGCAGAAGAGGCTGGGAGCCACAAGAGAATGCTCAAAGAGCCGCATGTGGCTCCGGAGCCGCAGGTTGCCGACCTGTGATCTAGCAGTATAGATATTTTCACTATCTGAACATGTGATGCACTGCATTAATATTCTTCTCCCCATTCATGAACAAGATCTTGTACGAAATCTATATTCATATTTACCTGCCTATTTGATTAATTAGATGCCATCCTGTCATTGTTGATCCCTAGCAACTACATTGATTTTTCTCCACGATGATCTTTCAGATCTTCCAATGATTCACTCATTATCACTGTAACTCAGACTGTCCACCTTGTTGCTGGGCAACTTTTTCTTTTCTTTCCATCCCCTTGAACTGCATTTGAGCTTTCTCCAGCAAGATAGATCTTTGTAAAATGTTTTGGTAAATGTAAAGGCCAAGTAAGAAAGAAAAACATTTAAATTCTAAGAGAAAAAAACATCATATGAAGTCACAGTCCACATGGTGAAATGATTAGAGAGGCTTCCCCAGCTTGGTGCCCTCTAGCTTCCAGACATACCTTGTGCAGGCTAAACATTTCTCATGGGCACCAAATTGAGTTAAGCTGAGGTAAGAATATGCTGCTGAGACCACAGTCTAAATTTCTGTTCAGGTTTTATTGGTTTATGATTTGGGCCATATTTTGTGCAAGCCTTGAGCGGCTGTTAAAATTTGGATAGTGGAATTAAAAGATAGAAAGTGAACAGAAACCTTTCACACATATGGTTAAGAGACATTGGCACCTTGCCTTTGTTTTTATGGGTGATATAATATTCCAGGGCTTATACTGCATTTCCATATATTTTCTATCTCTTTCGTGTTAGCAAAGCATGCGGAGGGGCCTTCAAGGGCTGTCTATGGCCTTAGCATCTGCATGTTGCTGGAGGAAAGAATAGACTGAGAGATTTTGTCTTGATGTAAATCCTTTTCTTCTTTCCTGTAGGATTACTTTTCCAGTTGAATATTAGTCATGCCAGTGGAATGGAGAAATTGAGTAATCAAGAACTTGAGAATTTAGCTTCTTCAACCCATGATCAGGACAAAGGCAGTGTGAAACAGGGTAGCCACCGCATTAACATGTTTCCTTTGTGCAGAAATCATGGTAAGGACAAAGTCAGGGTTTTTTTAACATTTAAAATGTACCACAAAACATGATCTTGTGTACCTCTTTGGGATCAAGTTATTAATAGCCGCATTTCCATGGAATCTGTAAGCCAATTGTTACCATACTGTAGCAACCATACTGTGAATAAGATGCACTGTAATGTATGTAGCCCATTAAGTTATATTTGTCTCTTCTTGATAGTGC